GTAATCCCGCTTCCAGTGTGCTGGTAATCTGTTGATCCAAGTCTGCCCTTTAAATCCGAAACTTGAGGCGTTATGCTCTACACTCTGCCTCAAGTCTTTGATAGCACGTATACGCCAGCCTCACTGAGCAGGATCCCAAAGTCCGGATTCTCAAGGTTGATGGAAAACTAACTTGATATAACAGATTCCCTTATTACGGCTCGGCATGTATATCGAGTAAATCTCATCGTCAAGCCGCTACTTTACGTGCTACGTGTATGATCAAAACCCTTCATAGTGTCAACTAGCTCTGGTCTCTGCAGCATCTTTTGCGCATATATCCATAATGCCAAGTCCATGACTTTCCTATGACCTAGCCTCTTGTATGCCAAACCCCAAAGTGTTCACTGTAGACGTCTCCTTTTTACTCTGTGGCTATCTCCTTTCGACTTATTTACTTCAAGGTTAAAATATTTCCTTGATCTATTTATTCTATTCTGGCTGATTTTGCCATTGCCTAATCTCCTCTGGGTTTGCTCAAGCAATATACTACGTTATCATTAATCGTGTCTTCTTCAAGTCTCTTGTTCATTAGATTGATTTAAATCAAGGTAGTGATGGATTGTCGAATCTTGCGTTTGCTCGTATTTTCACCATTCTGTCGATTTCCAGTCTATTTCATATCCCGACAGTGTAATATGCTCCACTATTTCGGAATTTTTCCGTACCCATGTTTCTGCAGATTCTTTCATATCGCTTGCTTCTTAGGCTGATTTTTATTCTCCAACAATGCTATTCCTGCTTAACCAATATATTTCTAGTCATAGTAGCCGTCCTCTACACGATTAGTTCCTGAATATTCCATTTTTAAATAACAGTCTCAATTTTAGACTCAGTTCACAGGAAAACGGGTATATTTACTTTTGGTCGTTGTCTCGATTTCTGGTCTTATTTGCATAAAATTCAAGTTGATCTCTGCTCTTTATGACCCCTATATTTCTTTTTATACATTCTCTGGGGTAACCATTACTGAGGAAAATCCGAGTCACTTTATCTAAATTCCCGTCCCAGGACTCCATGTCCGTTAGTTTTAATCTTTTGATGATTTATAATTGTGATGAGACTGAAAATAGAGGATTATTCTCCCATGCAATTTATTTCTGAATAGTCCCCTCTTGGGTATCCCGTTGGAGCGGATGACCTCAATATCCAGGAAAGGAAATCGCTCATTCTCCTTCACCTCCATTGTGAATTTAATTCGTCCATCAACTCGGTTCATAGGATTGAGAAATTCATTCAAACTTTCCTCAACATGCAAGCAAGGTGCAAAGTAGTCATTCAGGTATCGCATATGCATGCTTAGCTGCGGTCAGGATTTCTCGAATTTCCTTTCCAATTTGTCCATGTAAACATTTGCCAGATTAGGTAAAAGTGGGGATCCCATAGGTAATCCAAGTATTTGATCATAGATATTGCCTTGCTGTCGGGTTGATCAGTCGTGTTAATGAGTCCTGCCGTATCCGCTCAGCTTCCAGAATATCATCCTCTCGTTACAAGCTCTCCAGCAGGGCGGCCTTCTCGCCTGAAATGCTTGTTCGTCAAAACTTACCAAAAGTTCCGTCCCTGCTAGTCCAATATCTTAGATCCTTTGAGAAAATTCGTATGAGTTCTTCACAGTGTTCAATAGTCTGTCGTTTATTTTCTTCCTCTTCGAACATATATATTTCACTAGCTTGTGTGTCGCTTCATTATTGCTGTTAACTATTAACTTTAGTGGCTTCTTTCAATCTACAGACTAAAGATACACAAGGAAAACCACCGATGTTACTAGTCAATAGCATACATGGAGCGGCGCACAAGCTGGTGAGATTCATAGTTAGGTTGTAGGAGCAGCCACCTAAAGACTTCAGAAGTACTCAAAGGTCTCCCGTGAAGGAATAAAGCAGCACCTTACCTCTTAAAGACGCCTAAAACATATACAGAATTTAATCAATTAGCCTAGATACTCAGGATATACAAAATAAATTAGACCCGGATAATATATGCAACCAGTTGCTAAAAATTTCTTTAGAGCCCCCAAAATTTTAAAGAATGTTGAAAGGAAAATGCATATAGTATGATGAAAATGATAGTTATGGGAATCTAAAAAAATATGAGTACCGACGCAAATGGTAGGCAATATTTGAGTTGGTACCTCGAAAAAATCTAAAAAGATAACGTTTCGATAAGATGTGATAACAGTATTTAGGGCTTTTCAAGCCTCTCCCCAGAAATCTGTAGGCCTTTTTCCAAAGAGGCAACAATAGAACCGACGGTAAGTCATATTTATTAGGCAAGAAAATTAGTTTAAGTATTATCAAGATGCCTGCTAAAAGATGTATGGCCTTACCAATGTTGCAAGTTGACCAACTAAAACGTGTAATACCTGCATAATATAACGCGATATGGCTCCTTGAACTGAAGCAAATTACCATAAATGCCGTACCAAAATGACAAAATCTCGACTAAGTTACTTATTGCAATTCGTAGGAGAGTCATATTTTTTGTCCAGTACTAATAAGGATGGATAAAGGCTATAGGAAATAAGAAAACCGTTTGTGTACTTTACATTTAAAGTGGTCTCTTGATTGTGAGGGGAGATTTAAACACGATTGAGCACAGGCATTTGTGTATAGAGCTGAATATGTTGAATTTGATACATATTTCATTTAATAAAGCCAAATAAATTACCATGATGTAGAAGTTCAACGGCATTGACGCTGGCTGAGAATTTATATTTCCGATAGTTGTTATTATCATAAACGCCTGCTTGGCATGCCATCTGATTATTCAACTCAGGCTTATGCTGAAACTGGGCTCCTGCGGCCGAAATACCATGGGAGGCACCATTGCTGCAGAATCCAGTTTGGGTGCTGCCGAAAGGCCGAGAGAATAAAGTAGCCTTTTGGAGGAATGTTTCGACAAGGCTAAGAGAACGGGCGTCTCCGAGTGGATAACGTGAGAATTGGGGAATGTGTATAGGTGGTATCTGGACGAATTTGGGTTCGAGCAAGGGCTCCACGCGGAAGGCGAATGGATCATTCAAATGAAAAATGTTGTAGGCCTGTTCACAGGCAAGCCGAAAATCAAGGTCAGAAGCTAGAAGATGGTGAAAGAGTAAATATAGGTAAATAATATGGCTTATCACTGACGAAGACAAAGTTTGTCTATCTAAGGTATAGTCAGCAAACATAAAATCGAATACAAGTTATACATTAATGCAATTCATCAATTTTGGCGAATCACCTAAATGTATGCGAATTACACCTGGAACAAAATCATGTTAAAAAGCATTGCATTAAAATAAAAGTAGATCATTTTAACCGGACTAAAGCTGGCACTATGATAGGAAGATGCAAAAGGTGTTACTGAATGTAAAGCGCTTACAGACAGAAAAGAGAGAGGAATAAATCTGAGCATAGAAAAGAATCAAAACGCGTTCATGTATTTTATCAAAAATTTAGCCTTGAAAATCAAGAATGACCACAATAGCCATAATAGTTTTTCTGGTTTCACATCCTCAAAGTACACAGGTGGTAGGATTAGCCCTTATACGGTCCGAACGTAAAGTATGTTCGCATACTAAACAGATGCATACTTAATGTAAAAATATAGCTTGTCTACGATGAATCATTAGGTTCACAAATGACATAGGATGGAGATAATAATAGATTAACTTTCACATACACTTTACTGAAAAAGCTATTATTTAAATGCTTTATTCAAACATTAATTAAAAGGCAACAACATTAAGATCTCTTTTATCTATTTGATTTTAAATCTAGTTTATGCTTAAGCAGATAAGTATGGAAATACTTCGTCGTTAGCTTACTTCCTTTTCATATACTTTCGTGTATTTTTGACCTCTTGTGAACTTGGTTAAAGGCATTTACTCACAGGAAACTGTAATCACAGAAAAACTGACGTATTTAATCCAAGATCAACATACCTAAGATGAAAATAAACCTAATAAATACAAAAGGATAATCCCACAAACATATAAAATAAACAATACCTGGGGATAAGGATTTGGATATCATTATATACCAAAGATATTCATTTCTATACAACAAATTCATAATAATTAATAAGATTTAGAAGCGAGGTCAAAGCTTATGTTGAAAAAAGCCACATCAAGACAGAAGGATCTCCTCTTACTCAGATTGGCTCAACAAAAACATACGGGAATTAAATTTTAAAAGAGTGCAAACAAAAGATGTATAAAAATCTAGTTCAGGAAGAATAAAGGTGGTTTACAAATAACTGGCTGAATTTAAATACATTATAGACCCATATAGCACTTTATAATTTTCTAAATTTCCTAATTATGACAGCCAAAGAATGAAAAGTTAAAACCGTTCAAAAGCTTTAAAACAACTTTTATATAAGCCCTGATAAAATTGAAGGTATACACTTATTGAGGAG